AAGCATTTCATGCTCTCTAAAGTGTGAATATCACAGAACAAATCCAGGGAATAAAACACTTTCAGCGGGACAGTAAAGCAGGTACTTACACTTATTTTTGTGGCTTCTCTTGAAACATCCTAAAAAAGAGATACTTTTATCAGTTTTGAAAATCTCACCGAATGTCAGCTGCACATTTTGGTAACAACACGAGTTTTCCTTCGTTTTGTTTCAGAGAGAGGAAACGGCACCAGCAGAGCTGTTTGTCTCAAAGACACCGTTGATAGCCTCTCATTGTCCCTCGTGTGTGTTTGCTTTCTTTCCCCCTGCTACATGTTGTACCGGGCTGAAGGGGAAATGAATTTCCATATGCGCTCATGATGGTGGCTTGAAACACCAGACCTATCAGATAATGTTGACAATCACCAAGTGCCCAAAGTCTGAGTGATGCGTGCTTTTCAGTTCACTTTTAAAATGGTTCAACAAGTGCTGCTTATGGCCACTGAAATGTGAGAAATGCTTTAGCAGTATTCACAAATATAGTCAGTGTTAATGCTTACAGGATGTTAAAATAAAGTGTAGTGCAGATGATGCAGGGTAGAGACAGACACACATATGCGTGAGGGCTATAAGTACCTCGGCTCTGTTAGTCGGAGCAGTGATCTGCAGCTCATCTTTAGACACATCTTTCTTCAGGTACCACCACTGGATCTCCAAAGACATGGGTGCTGAGCTGACAGCTTTAAAGGTGCAGGGCATCTCAACATCATCTCCTTCCCCCACACTCACATCTTTAGGGACTTCAGTAAATGTAGCTTTGGTGTGTAAGAGTAGAAGAGAGAAAAAGGCCAGACGGCAGTTTTGCAAGTTTTTAAATGAGTAATGCCCTCCTCTGGTCTTTCATCTGCCCCTATTTAAATCATCCCTTTCATAGACTGACATGTTTCTACTGTATCCAAAAATCTCCCCTGGCTTTATTTAATTGAAAGCATTTTATTTATCTATTCGTGTGAGAAGGATAAGCTGCGCGGGCTTAGTATCAGCATTAGCAGGGCATGTTTCACACAAGTGGCGCTTAGCTGAAGGAGCTTTTAATGCCAATCTATCTCCGATGAGCATTTCCTTCATGTCACTTCACTTACCATTGGCACAAATCATACAGGCTGAGTTGATCAGGAAATAATAAAGGATCCCGTCGAGTCCCGTTTTTTCCATGTCACAGTTAATTCTTATCACGTTCACGAGCGTTGGACGGTCATCTGACCTGGACGCGACGTTACCCGCCTGCTCAGATAACTCCAAACACAGGCGCAGAAGAGCCCCGATTCAGACGCAGCAGCGGCAGCAGCAACACGTAGGATCCGAAGCTGAGCTCGGGCATAATTAAACTATTATTACAAATAGTGGATCCCTCAGAGAAGAGGCGCCTCCTTCGTTCCCAGCTGACTACCATCTGACAAAACCAACTTCCTGATCAGGGACTTCCTCTACCTTGGCGCTTCCCTGAAAGAAGAAGGGCTCCATCCTCACTGACGGTCTTGTGCGTGTGTTAAAGATGCACTGCAGCTGAGGCAGCCAGAGACCAACAGCGATCACTGCTGAAAAGTGCAGAGCTTCGTGCTGCGCCTCCTCTGTCTGCTGTCACCGACCTGCAGCCCTCCCGCTGCTGCGCACGCTGCAAAGACACACACACACCGCAGTCTTGTCTTCCCACTGCTTCAGGGCTCCGAATATAAATACCAGTTTTCTTTTATGCATTGAACTCACACACTTGCTGAAGCTGAGCTGAGTCATATTAATTGGACGACACAGTGTTAATGGAAATGAATGAAAATGCAACTTTTCAAAGCCGGTGAATTAAAAAAAATCTATTTATGTAAAACGATAACGAAAAAAATGCTCGACTTTTCATGTTCAAAGCTATGATTTGTTGTATAGTTGTAAAGGAACCTATTCAAAAGTAATTTTAAAATTGTGCAAATGATGACATAAAATAGCTCAGCCTGCAGATATTTTTTCAAACAGTCTCTCTGTGATTTCTCTGTCATGATCCAAGGTGAGCATCAAGTTTTTGGGTGTATTTTTCCTGCTCAAGTGGGGGAGACCGGGATAGTTGTAACACACTGCAATCCAAAATATCTGCATGTCTCTGTTATTAAATAGTAGAGCTATTTTTATTTTATTTACTAATTGCATGGCATGGTCTCAAACACACAGAGTGAAATTTTACAATTAACCACATAATCTGGGTATGTTGTAACATAATGTAACACAATGAAATAAGGGTGCTGACAAAACCTTAATATGTAATCTTTTTTATTCAACACTTAAATGCACTGATAATGCACCTTCATTCAGTCTCGCCTCATTGGCTCAGTGCATTGTAACCTACAACTCTTGCACTAAGATTTGAACATAATAATGAAGCTGAAAAAAATGTAGTTGAGCACCAGCTTCATTAACTGGATTGTATGCATTTGTGTCAAGTGTGTAATCACCATCAGATGGCTGACCTTGGTGTGGTTTGCAAAGTGCTTCAGAAAGATGAGGAACTCTGTTTCTTGCAACCATCCTGATATATTTCCATTACCAATACTTCCTACTGGCCCATCTCTGACACAGTGGTCTGCATAACGTATGCATGGGAACACAAACGTGGGAGGAGTTGTGTTGCCAATGGCATTAACTGCACATACAAGGGTGACCAGTGAACCTCTCTCTGCTGATGTCATTGCCCCGACTTGTTTAGTGCCACATTTGCAATCACTCTGTCTGGGTTTGCACAGTTGTTATGCTAGTCTCATCAATATTCAATATCAGTGCTAACAACTAACCTGATTGGCTACCTCCCTGGACTTTTTGAGGGGGCAATAACAACAACAACAACAACAACAACAACAACAA